CAAAAATAGCTTTTACTAGTGTGAGGCTCGGAGTTCAGTTCAATCACTGAGCTATAATAGTATTCTCTGACTAGTCAAGGTTGAATGTTCAAGATGTAGTTTGAGTATTAATCATTGATTCAGATAAAAGATAGCACAACTGAAGAGGCTCTCCTGAGTTAAGTAGTTTATTCCTGAACACAGATGTAAGTTTTTCCCTTTGTGTTTTCCAGAACCACTTGAGTGTTTTCCCTACTATAGAGGCAACCTCTTTTGGAATTATTTCTTTAGCTTTACTCTTTATCAACTATAATCTTTTGGGCAAAGGATTCACCTAAGCTTTTGCTGGTATGAATTATGAGTTCATTCATGCTGGCCATTTCAAGTTTAAGCTTTAACTTTCATGCTACTCAGTAAGAAATCTGATAATATGCTATGCTTCATCTTGGTTTACTATATGGTATTCCATTGTACAGCAAATGCATTGTAGGATTCCATTTATACGAAGTACAAAAACAGACAAAAGTCATTTATGCTATTAAAAGTCAGGATAGTGGTTACCCTTGATACAGAGGTGATGACTAAGAGTGGGCACAAATTCGGCAAATAGCATTGTATGACTAAACCACGTCTTTTTTATATATATATATATATACTTTAAGTTCTGGGATGCATGTGCAGAACGTGCAGGTTTGTTACATAGGTATACATGTGCCTGATGGTTTGCTGCACCTGTCAACTTGTCATCTAGGTTCTAAGCCCCACAAGCATTAGGTATTTGTCCTAATGTTCTCCCTCCCCTTGCCCCTCACCCCTCGACAGGCCCCAGTGTGTGATGTTCCCCTCCCTGTGTCCATTTGTTCTCATTGTTCAACTCCCACTTATGAGTGAGAACATGCGGTGTTTGGTTTTCTGTTCCTCTGTTAGTTTGCTGAGAATGATGGTTTCCAGCTTCATTTATGTCCCAAATAAACCATATCTTATTTATCTATTTTACTATTGATCAGCATTGGGTAGTGTCATCAATTAAAAAAAGTATTATATTGGTACTCATATGTACACAAGCAATACTCAACATGCATTTATATATCACAGCATTTTAAAGCTTTTTATTGAAGCATAATTTACATACACAGAGATGCATATATCAATAGTACAGTTCAATGAATTTTCACAAACTGAACACACCAGTACCCACATCAAGAAACAACATGACCAGCTCCCCAGAAGCTGATTGGTGTTCTCTCCTAGTCATCAGCTCTCTCTCAAGGGTAACCACTATCCTGACTTTGAAGAGCATCAATGACTTTTGTCTGTTTCTGTACTTTATATAAATGGAGTCCTGCAATTGTACGTCTCCCTTTTTTCACTTGGCATATTTGTAAGGTTCATATATTTTACTGCATTTGGAAGCAGATTGTTCATTCTTAGTGTGGTAGAATGTACTCTGTTGTATGACTATACCACCAATTATTTACCTATTTTACTGCTTATGACCATTTGGGTTATTTCCTGTTTGGTGGTTATTTATGAATAGGGTTGCTCTGAGTGATTTAATAGTATTTTGGCACACATGTGCCATTGGTGTATTCCTAAGAGTGGAACTGCTGGGCCATAGGGTTTTCATATGTTTACCTTTAACAGATATTGACAAACAGTTTTCCAAAGTGGTTGTACTATATACATAGCATTTGACTTCTTGAGGAATCATTCTAAGAAGGGCATTTCAGCATAACCTTTAAGAGAACAGGTTTTGGAGTCACTCAGATCAAATTGAGCTTATCACTAAGGAGTTGAGGCACCCTGGACAATATGCTTAACTTTAAGCCTCAGTTTACTCAACTGTAAAACAGGAATAATAAAACCTTTCTCAAAATTTATGAGAATTAAATGAGATATTATTTTAATGCAGTTAGAACAGTACCTGAAACATAATAAATGCTTAGCTTATTATATGGCAGTTATTAATCATTAGCAATTAAAACACAGGCAAAATGGAGAATTACAAACAAATAGGGACAATATAATACAAAAACAATTTTAATTTTTTTTTTTTTTTAAATTTTAATTTTTTTTTTGAGACGGAGTCTTGCTCTGTCGCCCAGGCTGGAGTGCAGTGGCCGGATCTCAGCTCACTGCAAGCTCCGCCTCCCGGGTTCACGCCATTCTCCTGCCTCAGCCTCCCGAGTAGCTGGGACTACAGGCGCCCGCCACCTCGCCCGGCTAGTTTTTTGTATTTTTAGTAGAGACGGGGTTTCACCGTGTTAGCCAGGATGGTCTCGATCTCCTGACCTCGTGATCCGCCCGTCTCGGCCTCCCAAAGTGCTGGGATTACAGGCTTGAGCCACCGCGCCCGGCCTAACAATTTTAATTGTATGATGGAAGAAACCTATGAAACTCGACCCAAAAGGCATTGCTAATTCCAGGGAGGATTATACTTGGATCCTGAATATTATCCCAAAATGCGTTTGCAAATTACCCTCACCAGAGGCAAGGTTCTTGGATGCAGCGTATTACCATCCATTTTTTTTTTCCAGTTATTATTCTTTAAAGACAGGACTGCCAAGGGCTACTCTAGAAAGTCACTAATATAATGCCTTTTATTATATTTCCCAATTTCACACCTTCCTCAACCCAATCCCCAAAGTTGTTGAAAGTGAGTGTGATTGCATCATTAGTTCTTAGCTTTCCTGGAATCTTACCTACGACAACTTTCACATCCCCCAAATCCTAAAAATGAGCCCAGATTTTTGCTTTAAATTGCAAAGAACTTGCTTTATTTTGTAGGATGAGCTTGATAACCTCAGCGTGGATTTCAGCAGCTGCCGGAAACAGCACTCTAGAAGTTAACACAGGTACACTCCGTACTGAGGCACTGTTTTAGCTAACTGCTCCAGGGACAGCAGGCTCAGTCCTCTTAGGTAAGTAATTTTGGAAGGTGGCACCGTGTTCCTAATAAATTGAATCAGATCCCGTAGGTTAGTCACTATTCTTAAGAAATAAAGCACGAAATCAACTTGAAGTCATCTGTTGAGAAGGCCATGGATAGACCTGAAAAGGAACATTTTGAACATTTAATTGAACCTCTTTGATTTACAGATGAAAAAACTAGTCATTTAAAAGTCTTGCCTAAGGTCAAATGGTTTGTTTCCTGGACTGGCATAAAGCTGATCTTAGTCACAGTCGGGTGGATGTTCCTTCCTGCTCCTGGCAACTTGCCCCTCACCGTCCCCCCAACCCCATCTTCCCATCAGATTTCATAAAGATCCAGACCTGGGATTCAGAAATGGGGAAGCTGAAGAAGTGTGACTTAAAACAAGAGAACGACAAACTATTAAATTGTTATTAGGAATTAATGACAATTCCCTGCTAGAACGTCAAGAAGCAGTATCTTTTCTGTTTTGTACATCGCTGTATTCCCAGCACCTACAACTTTGCCTGCTAAGCCTGGTAAGGCCTAATAATTGTTAAATGAAAAACAATCAATCACTCAATCATAGATATGTCAGATTGTGAGAGAAAACACGTCCTGTTTTCTCTACCACCTTCCTTCCAGTTAATATTAATAAAATGCAGATTTGTATTCTAAAGAGGCGAAATCATATACATAGCACTGTAGCACGGTGCCTGGCCCATTGTGAGTAATTAATACATGTCAGTTTATTTTCCTTTTCTTCCTCCACATGTATGGGCTACTAGGGAGGAAGGAAGGTTGGTGCCGTGGTGTTTATGTGCCTGGACAGAAAGTGAAGAGCATACAAGAAGCTGCTGAGAGCGGGCTGTCGGTGTCTTTCTGATACGTATAGATCAATTCCAGTGCCCTGAAAAACGCACAGCTATTTTACCCAGAGAGGCTGGTCGTTTTTGTTGATCGATTCTCGGCGGCAGTCAGCTCTTTAATACAACTTTTTATAAGCATCAGCCACACTGCGGCGGGAGAAGCGGCTGTGGTGGAAAAAGCAGGGAAGTCCCCCCACCCCGCTCCACTCCCAAAAAGTAAAGGAAGCCCGCGGGGCAGGGACTGCGGTTTGCGGGTCTAACGGGTCCTTGAGCTGGGGCGGCGGTCCGGCCACTCCAGCCCCGCCCCTCGCCCGCAGCCGCCTCCGAGGTTCAAGTTCAGCGCCCGGCTGCTAGGCCTCGCGCTCCCGGATTCGAAGCCGCCCGTGCGTCCCAAGGTCCCCCGCTGGAAGACGAGGCGGGGATCCCAGCGGTCATCCGGGCGCGGGGTCACTCGGCCACGCACTGTGGTGCCACGTGGGGGAAAAGTTTCCAACTCTGCCAGTTGGTGTTCCCATTGCGCCCAGGCGGAGCAAAGGCCCGCGCTTTGGCACCCGCTCCCAGTTCTGTCTCCTCCAGTCGCGCCCCCTCCCAGAGACGCCCCCCTTGTGCCCCTTCTCTGAATTCCCTCCTCCTCTCGTAGCGCAGGTAGCCAAGGGAAAACACCCTTGGGGGCTGGGGGGTTTCCCGAGAAGGCGGCCTCGGGCCGGCCAGGGGTAGGGGATCCAGGGACAAGTGTCCCGAGGAGGATGTGGGGAGCGCGCGCGCGAAGTGGCCTGGGAGCAGGGGCCCGCACGCGTCCCCGCTGCGACAGGCGGGATCCTCCGGCTGCTTCCACACCCTGACGCGCCAACTCTGCCCGGCCGCGGCCGACCCCACGCGGGCGGCCCCCTTCACGCCCCCGCCCCCCTCACGACTCCCCACCGCCCCCAGTGCGCAGGCCCGGCCGCCCCAGCGCGCATGCCCTGGGCTTGCGAGCGCGGCCAGCCCCCAGCCTTTTGCTTTCTACACACTCTACAACTGGGGAGGGGGCGGGGGAGGAGGGAGCCCAGCCGTCCACGTGATCCCGCCGGCCGGGGCCGCGGGGGCGGGAGCGCGCGCCGAGAGAGGCGCGGGGAGGGCGGGTGCGCGGGAGCGCGCGAGCGAGCGAAAGCACGAGCTAGCGGGCGGGCGCGGGGCTGGGCTGAGGCGGGCGGCGGCGGCGGCGGCGGCTGTGGGCCGGCCGCGGAGGGGGAGGAGCGGGAGCTGCGCGAGGCAGGCAGGCGGGCGGAGGATGGGGCAGTGCCCGGGCTCCCGCTGCAGCCGCCCGGGGACACGCCGTGCACCCTCCGGCTCGGGGCTTTCTCGGTGGCGGCGGCAGCGTTAGCGGCGGCGGCGAGAGCAGCGTTCCCGGCTGCGCTTCTCCCTCAGGCGGGGCGGCGAGAGAAGCGGCGGCGGCGGCGGCACACCGGTGTCTCTCCCGCTGGAGATTTCTTTCTGCTTTCCTCATCGACTGACTGACTCACCCCCTCCCTTTTTTGAGGAAGGGTGACCTCTTCTCTGGGACTGGAAAAAATATTTTTGTGAGGAGGGGGGCGGGTGGCAGCGACAGGGTTTGCTTCTTCTCTTCTTTCATCTCCCTCTCCTCCTCCCTCGAAGACCGAAAAGCAAACCCCACAACTGCTCCAGCAGCATCCTCCTTCCCTTCCTCCGCCTCCCTTCTCCTCCGCCGCTCGCAGTTTCGCCCTCTCCTCCGCTAATGATTGCATTATTATGCTCCCCTCTCTGGGGGGTCTCGCCCCTTTTGGGTCGCTCCGGAGCCCCGGCCTCCCCTGGCTGCATTTCTTAAAAATTTGGGAGACTGGGAGTGAGTTTTCTCCGAGGCGTGTGTGAGAGGCGGCGGGGGTGTTTTCCTGCGCGAGGGGCGGGTGAAGTTCATTGCCCCCACTTTTCCCGCGACCTTTTTCGGACCCGATTTTGGATCGGGTTAAGGGGGGCGCGGGCGTTTTCGGGGGGCGGGGGGCGCGGCGGAGAATGGCCGCGGGGAGGGCTCCCCGGAGCCTCCCAGTCTCTTGATCAAAGCATTCCGCTATTCTGATTTATTGCCTGCTTGGTGAGTTATTTTTTTTCCTCTAAAGGAGACCTGTGTGTTCAGCCATTACTTTGCTCGGCGCTGCTCCCAGGCATCTCCGACCCTCGGTGCTGTGGGGAGCCCCACACTTGGGCTCCTCGCCTCTCGCCCTCGCTCCCCGTCCCTCCTCCCCTCTCTCCGCCCCTTCCCCCTTTTCTTTCTCCTCTCTTTCTTCCCCTCTCTCCCTTCTTTCGGCCGCCGTCTCCCCCGCGCCCTCCTCGGGGCGGAGGGAAGCCGTGAAGGGGGAGGGAGGGCTCGGTGTCAATTTTTTTTGTGTGGCCGCGGCCGTAGCCTGTGGCGGGCGAGCGGGGAGACCCCGGCGCAGCAGAGCCATGGATGGCCCGACGCGGGGCCATGGACTCCGCAAAAAGCGGCGGTCGCGGTCGCAGCGAGACCGGGAGAGGCGCTCCCGGGGCGGGCTAGGGGCCGGCGCGGCCGGCGGCGGCGGGGCTGGCCGGACCCGGGCGCTCTCACTCGCCTCGTCGTCGGGCTCCGACAAGGAAGACAATGGGAAGCCCCCGTCCTCCGCCCCGTCCCGGCCCAGACCCCCGCGGAGGAAGCGGAGAGAGTCCACCTCGGCCGAAGAGGACATCATTGATGGATTTGCCATGACCAGCTTTGTCACTTTTGAAGCGCTGGAGGTAAGGGGGACCCCCCTCCCCCCGGGTTCCCTTTATGCACGACCCCACTCGGCTGCGCCCGGCTCTCCTGCCTCCCCCGCCGCGTTCCGGGCTGTCTGTCTGTCTGTCTGTCTGTCTAGGCTGAGGTCTTATTGTTGGTGGGGGGAGCTGGGGGCGCGGGCAGACAGGCAGCAGGAGGGAGTCGAAAAGCCGTGCCTGGTCTCCTCGTTTCCTCGTTTTCTCGCTCGCCTTTCCCCTGCGCCCCCTCCCTGCACCCCCTCCACAGCAGATGGGCAGAAAGAAAGGGGTTCAGGCATCACAACAATGCGCCCCCTCTCCACGGAGAGCTCTGCCCCCACTTCTTCCTCCTCTCCCTCCCCAATCATGGCTTCTTGGCTGGTGGAAGTCTCTTTGCTGGGTTTGGGGCGCCTGTGGACGGTTCTCTGTGTGCTTTCTACAGAGTCATATGTTCGTGTGTGTGTGTGTGTGTGTGTGTGTCTGTGTAGTGTATACCTTTCTCGGGTGTCCTCGGGACCGGAGACTGATGGGGTTTTGTGGTTTTTTTGCGCCCCCCCCCACCCCCCCCCATTTTTTTTTTTTTTTTTTTTTTTTTTTTTTTTTGGTGAAGCTGGGGAAGGGGGCGTTTTCTCCTGGTTGGGAGAAAGGAGGGAGGAGGGGAGAGAAGAGGGAAGGGTGGAATAGCTCTGTATTCTGTTATGGGGCTCTGTTACAGAAAGGGTTAATTATATTATCTGTACACATACATAGGCACATGTGTGTGTGTACATGAGCAATTTAGTTAAAGGACAGAAAAAGGTACACCAGGGAAGACTGGTGGGAGGAAAGAATAAAATACTAGCTGCTGTCTGAAGGGCTTGTCACCAATTGTCCCTCTGCCTTTCCTTTTTTTGTGTTTTCTTTTTTTTCTCTCTCTCTGATTGGCTTTGTGTGTGTCTGTGTGTGTGTGTCTTTCTTTATTCCTTGGGCACCTGCAGCGTTGATTTCCAAATGCACATTTTCCTCCCGGCCAACTGGCTCCTAGTGTGGGGGAAAAGGGAGGGAGGGGGAGACTGTCCAGGGGTTAGGGGGAAACTATCTTTGCCTGGACCTATCTCCTTTGGTGTGGTATCGGTCATTGGCCTCTATAAATTTAACCGCCTTCTTTCCTCCCCCACCTCCCTGTCCCCACCCCCCACACACCATGCACACATACACACAGAAGGCTTTGAGATTCTGCAGAGTTGGTCCACCTTTCTTAAGCACAAAACCAAGATACGGTTTATAGTTGGCTTATAGTGTTTCATGCACCTGATGTGATGGTTTGAGGTTCCTGAAGCAAACTTTTCCTATTCCTTTTTTTTTTTTTTTTGCTGTTATTATGGTATTGTTTCAAATGCTCAGATGCGAGCTTTGTTAATGACAGCTTAAATCTCATATACAGTAACTGTACAGGTTTAGATTGCTGGTTCTGTTGATGTGTTTGGGTGTCAGGTTTAAATTTTGTTTTCAAAGGAAGGCTTCCTATCAGTGTTGTCCTTTTCCGTTTGAACTGCTTTTGGTTGGGCTGCTGGTGGTGATGGTGGTGGATGGTGGCCAGTGGTTGGGAGTAAGGGAGGTACTGGTGGTGGTGGTGGTGGAGGTGGTGGTGATGGTGATGGTAATATTGGTGGTGGTCATAGATTTTGATGTCAGTGATTGAATCTGTTACTCTCTGGTTCTAGAATTGGTGCTTTATTGGCCAAAATTTTGAGTGTTGAGGTTCACCACTTACTAGAATAATTCCAGCTGTGACTTTAAGTTTGCCAAGGTGGGTGGTTACCGTACAGTGTGACCTCTTTCTGTCTCTCTCTCTTGCTTTAAAATAGGAGTTGAAATGGCAGCATGTTCCTAATAGAACATGCTATTTGGAATTTGGTTCATCATTGCTGTCTGTGGTTGGTTTAGGAAAGTACTTGTAAGAGCTGTTACAAGTGGTTCTGCTTTCTGCATGATTATCCTGGGCTGTGGTGTGGCCCCTCTCAGGAATCAGGAGGGGCCACTAGATTCCCACGAACATTTTTGGAGGACAAGTAGGGATATATTTGTGTGTATATATGTATATCACTTATGCAGTTCTTTTTGATGGTTTATTTTTAACAAATAGGTGTTTGACTGGGCTTGTGATATATATCTATTTATTTGGCTTTGGCGAGAAAATGTGCTCATTTTAATTTATTTTGTGCTTAAAAACTTGTAATTTTAAAAGAAGACCAAGTTCAAAATGTACAGTTAATACCATTTCTTTCTTTGCTCTGATTATTTTTTTCTGCTACTTTTTTAGATTCAAAATCCAAGTTATTTTGGTTAGCTGAATACTATGCCACCTTCATATCTAAATATCATATGTATATCTATGTGTAGGTATAAAAGGTCTAACTTTTTTAAAAGTTTACTTAAAATTCTGTAGAAAAATTTAAACATACAGAAGTAGACAGAACACCCAACATCCAGGTTTGAGAACTACCAACTCATATCTCATCTTATATTTTCTATGTTTCATCTGTTTTCTCTCCCACATATGATCTCATCCGTATTTCTCATATAGAAATACTTCTGTATGAATCCCTAAACCATAATGACTCCAAAAATCCTCAGATCCCACCAAAACCCCCACAGCGGTATTATCACACCTAAATAAATGTGTAACAGTTCACTAATATCAAATATCCTGTCAGTGTTTACATTTTAAGAGGCCCAAGTTTTTAGGGAAGCCATAAATACATTTGTCAGATTAAAAACACACAATGGGAAATAGAAATCATCATATATGTCTGGTTCTTTGGCAAAAGGTAGTTTCGTTGGCTGTGTGCTATCACATTGTGTCCATGCTGGATGGTCAGAACATATGTGTGTAGTGATTGTTAAATTAAAACCTCTGGTGGTCCACTGTATTCAGTCTGGAAGATTTATTGAACTATCACCAAGAAATGTGAGGGCTTATTGGGAACAGGCAACTAAACTATGAGCTTGGACAAAAATGTGTGTTGCGGGAGTGTTTGTAAAAGTTAGTAATTATTATACTTGCTAAGAGTTATCTGAAATACGTGGTATGTTCTTGGGCCTTGTGTTTAGAAATGAAATCAGTTGTCACCACATGTCATTAAGGCTGCTGCTGGTATGATATTGTGAAAAGAAACCAGAAATATTGGCTTGTACAGCTAGGTTTATAGCTTGTGCCAGTTCAGAGCAATAACTGGCAAACAGTGGAGTAGCATACTTTGTGTGTTAATGGACACATTATTTGATTTTGTTCTGAGTAGCTGATTTTGGACTTTGCTTTTTAAAAAAGAGGCTTCTAACTCATTATGAAATGTGCTAATATAAATAGTTCTAGTTCGACTGATTTTACTGATACTGGAGTAAAAGTGATAACTTGCCTAATGAGAACCTGCATTTTTATCTTGATTACTTTTTGCTGTTGTTGGATTCTTTTTTTGAGATGTTGAAAGCTTTAGGCGTAGTTTGACAAGTCTCACGTTTTATAGGCGGTGAAACTGGCTGAGATAGTTTCATATTCACAGGACACTTGTCTTGAGTAATTGTGCCCTGAAGTTCAAGTGTATGATTATGAAGAGTCTCATGATAGAAGATAAGAGGGTAGGCGAGGAGGCTAAAGTTGAACGTGGTGTTCTTTTCATTATGCAGTTGAGAAGCAGAATTAACATTGGTATATAGTACATTGTTTGTTTGGATATTCTTTGAGTGACAGGATGAGAGCAAAAATCCCCAAATAAGATGTCTAGTTTTTTTAAAAAGTGGCTTTTAGCAAACAAAGAATAAATGGGAATGTTGGGGTCCTACTACCATCAGTGTGTCCTGATGTGTCAGATAGTGTTGGCTTTCTGCTATTTGGGTTTCTTTTCTGTGTTGTCTCTATTAGGAAGCCATGTGAGTACCATGGCTGAAAACTTGACTTTGCAAATTCATTATTTTTCCCCTTATTCCTCTTTTGTGCACTGGGTTCTTAGAGCAGCCTCCTTTTTTACAGCTGACCAAGGGAAGCTAAGATGAAATTTGTGGAATTAGCAGAAAAGAGGCCAATTGGAGCTTTGTAGGCTTATGAAAGTAAAGGAAGACTCATTTCTAGTGGTTAGAGCATCAAACCAAGACTTTGATGCGGTCTTCACTTCCTGGCTCTGTTTCAGGGCTTACCCCCCACACATCAGTAGCATAAGCAGGCTGTACAGAATTTGATGTACTTATAACATGCTATGTTAATAGGCTCTAACAATTTATTATGGTCAGATCACTTTTATTTAGTTGTTTAAAAAACAACATTAGTTACGTGCCTTTTATCAGTCAGCAGATATTTATGGAGTGCTTAATATGTGCAAGGCACTAAGAATATAGAGAATCCAAACATAAATGTAGCGTTTTGAAAAAGTATGTAGTTTAGTTGATAAATTAAAGCCAGCACCTGTGAAATAATTTTGAAACAGGCACTTGAATGCCTAATATCAACTAAGCACGATAGGCTTTTAGAGACAGGCTAGTGAGATAGGCTGAAGTGTTCAAGAAGGCTTCATGGGGTAGATGGAACCTAGAAGGGTGAAGTGATTTGGATATATGGGGAAGGAGTTGGGGCTAGGGAGAGCATTCTAAAGGAATAGTGAAGAAGGCACATGAACCAGATGCTGTGTGGTTAGGACTCGAGGGCTAGGAAGGGCTTGTGGAAATAAGTACAAAGGTAAGTAAAGAGTGCTTTTAGTGGGGCAGGAGACCTGTGGAGACCCACATTCCACGCTTGGCCTGCCTAACTAGTGTAGCCTTTGGAAGTTAACTTTCTAAAAGCATAATTTCCTTTATCCATTAGTGGAGAGATTTAAACTAGTTTAGAGCAAAGCTTCTCAAGCTGAAAGGGAACATAACTTTACAGGATGTTCATAAATTGTGTTCTAGACTGAAACAGAGTGATCTACCCTCAAATAGTTTTTGAAACTTGATGGGCTAGACAAAATTAAATGGATGCCTTGTTCTTTCAG